ACGTACCAAACTCTGGCATAGCTTACCCAGAGTTATACCTGCTTTTCCAGTGATATCATCAGAAAGAGTATCTAGCACCAAATACCCTACAGTAGTCAAAGAATATACATAGGAGGCCACACATATGACTGATCTAAAAAAAAAAATTAAACAAGCATTGTATCTTATGGAATACAATTGTCCTTCATTAAGGAAATGATCAAAATGTGGGCTTCAAGAAACAAAGCAACGCCACAAGACTGGATTCAGTTCATCTCAGCAGTCCTAGAAAATTGACCGCAGTTGCTTTGAAGGTGCTGCTGGAGCCCCACAGCAACAACTCCTGGTTGAGATGACATCATGATACTGATAGCACTACTGTAAGACTGGTTTTTGGGTACCAGCTGCTGAAATGGTACACCTTCGCATGACATTCTGGCCAGAACTCCAAATAAGAACTTTAAAATCATTTACAACTATACTAGACAGTAATTTTGAAAATTAACCATCACTTTCCTTTTGCCAAATTCCATAAAGAGAATATCGCCCCCATGACAACAGGAAGCAATTCTAGAGGACAACGTCCCCTCTCCCAAAAAAGTTTGTCCTCAGGGTTGGGAACACCATTTAGGGGTTGTTGATTATTTGTATAAGGTAGAGGGTTGGGGTAGAAACTATGTAGTTTCAAAAAAAATGGGGATAATAATAGTAGATAATAGAGTGAATACTTGTGAACTGTTATTTATGGATAATTTACATTGGTATAGCTTTGTATATTGATTCAAGTTCAAATTATATTTGTTATTTCTGTTTACAATATTTGTACACCTATGCAAAGTTATTCTGTCAGATTGTATACATGCATGCTTCTACCTCTGTTTAGGACATTTTGTATACTGATATAACTTTTAAAATATATTTTTGTATTGCATTATATATTATTCTTACCTCTGATCAAGATACATATACACTGTTTAAATTTTGAGGTCATTGCAGCACATTTGTTTACAGATTAGTTAATATTTTGACATTAAGTCTTAGTCCTTAAGCTATAGAGGTATTAAATAATATAGGTCAATAGTTGTTCATATTTGTTATACATATAGTCAGATTAATTAGGTTCTTTAGATACATAGAGATTGTATTCTGCCTGGATAGGTAATATTCAACCACTTCAAGAATCTGTAGAACAAGGCATTTAAATAATTTAGGGTTCTGTTGACATGAGACATGATTGCTCCTGACAATGATGTTAATAACTTTAAGTCATTGTAGTGATAGCTAATTTGCATTTAATAAATAAAGCTTGCCTGAAGTTCAGAGAGTAAAACAGATGCACTGATCAGCCTTACAGACTAGGCAGTGGTAACGCACACCTTTAATCCCAGTAGCCACACTAGTTTGCAAAGAAACCAAGTGGTAGTAGTGCATGACTTTAACCCCACCCAGCACTAGAGAGGAATATAAAACGGGGAGGAGACAGTTCTCACACACAGTCTCTTTCTGAGATTCCTGGAGTCAGGATCGTCATTTTGGACTAAGGTAGAGGTAAGAGCCAGTGGCTGGCTGTTTTGCTTTTCTGACCTTCAGGTTGCATCCCAATTTCTGTCTCTGGGTTTTTATTAATTGTGCTAAAAGGCATAATTTCCCACTTCCCCAATACATTAATAATTGATTAGTTGTAGATGTAAGAAAGTAGTTAAAACATCACTAAATTCATAATTCTAATTTGCTGCTCATCTGAGAATAATGTCCTGAAAGGTAACTTTCCCTCAATTCAAGTCTAAACTATTTAAATATTCACCCACTGTCTGCCTCGGTGTGATTTTTCTTCTCCCTTTTTTTTATTGGTTTTTCAAGACAGGGTTTTTCTGTAGTTTTGGAGCCTATCCTAGAAATTACTTTGTAGACCAGTCTGAGATCTGTCTGTCTCTGCCTCCTGAGTGTTGGGATTAAAGGTATATGCCACCACCACCTGGCTCTATGCTTTCTTATAAATTAAATTTTATGAGCTCAAGAGATGGCTCAGAGATTAAGAGCACTGGTTGCTCTTGCAGAGGACCTGGGTACAGTTCTCACCCCCCATGATGACTCTGAACCATCAGTAACTACAACTACAGAGGATCTGTATGCCACCTTCTTCTGGATGCCTCAGGTACTGCATGCACACAGTGTACATACATACATCCAAAAAAAAAAATACTCACAATCATAAAATAAATCAATCTTAAAAGGTAAATTTTATAAAGCTACTATCTAGCCACTTGTAACTACCTAAAAAGAGAACGCATTCAAATTCTGTGATCTCCCCCTTGAATAGCATAAAGAAGCCGGAACAGATAAAGAACTTGCTCAGTGTTGCCTAGAATGTTAATGCAGGGCTGCACAAATGCTTCACATACATTCATTCTATATGCTTAGCATATAAAACTTTCTTATAAACTTATTTTTACTTTATCGCCAATCTATATCTACATTGGATATTTACCTATACCCAATTATCAGCATTAATCCTATGTTTTAGAGGCCTAAAGTTGATCTAAAACATTTGGAGAACAAATAATAAAACTAACTTAGTTTATCTTTATTTAATTATTTTCTTAGATAAAGCCTCTTTAATGTAGCCTAGATTTACCTTAACTAGTATGCTGCCTAGACAAAGCTTTGAACTCATAACCCTCCGATTTGAGCCTCCCAAATGCTGTGATTGCAGGTATGTGACAACCACACTCACTCAGTTACTACTTTTCTTTGGGTGTTAGAAATATATGCCTCATGAATAAAATTTTTTGTGCAATGATATGACAAATGTTCATACAGTGACTGGCAACTTTTTATGCAGATGTTAGCAAGAAAAAGAAATGTCACCAACCTGTAATTATCTTGTGAAGGCAAAGGAGACATCTGCCAATTCATATATCAAAATCTTCTAAAAAATCACTTAGGGACATAAAAATGACACATATGAATATATGTGACACATAGTGAATTCTGGAATTTATTCATATTTCATACTTACATAGAAATGTGAAAACATATATACTTGGCTGCTGACTAAAAGAGAAACAACAAATCAGTTGTTCTCAGGTAAAAGCTGGTAATTTTTATTTGTTCTAAGCACGGAAAGTCATTAAATTGCTTCAAATGTCAAACTTCGAAACAATCAACAAATTAATAAAATAACCACTATCTTCTATTCAAGCAAAAAGCACACCATACAAACAAATCCAATAAGCATAGATTTTACAGTATAATTTTTAAAATGACTATTTGGCAACAGTGTATAAGAGAAACAGAGTACAGGTTTGGAAAAACTTCAGGGAGTCAACTCAATAGCTCCTTTTTAGTTATGATGAAATGTGAACTTACTAGTAGAAGGAATAGACTTAAGAATACTGAAAAGACCAAACACATATCAACCATATGTGTTACATTTACTCAAGCAAATCCATTTAAAATACCATGAAGGTAATATCTCAAATGTAAAAGGAAACAAGTTGGCCATGTCCAGGTTTAAATTTACAAGAATCTCTCTCTTAGGAAACCACTGTTCTTAAGTATAACAGGAGGTAGCTAAGTAAGTAAGTAAAAAGTGGGTATGTAGATTTACCAGAAGCACCTCATCAAACACAAAGATCTAACAGTTTGCAAGAGATTATGGTTTACAGATCTGTGTGGTTGGTATGGGTGTCTACGAACTTGTGGAGGCCAGGATCAAAGTCAGGCGTCCGGCCCTATTGCTCGTCACATTCTGTTTCAAGATAAGAGTCTCTCACTGAACCTGGAACTCACCAATTCAGCTAGAGTGGATGAACAGCAAACTCTGGTATGCTGCCTATCTCCACCCTCGGAGTTATAGACATGCCACTACTCTAGTCTAGGTGAGTGCTGGAGATCCCAACTCAGCTCCACTGCTTTGCAGCAAGCACTTTACCCATGGAGCTAACTCCCAAGCCCTGATTTTTAAATATGTGTGTGTGTGTGTGTGTATAATTGTGTTAATCACATATTGAAAAATAAGAAACTATGCCTTGCTTGCTTGTTTTTAAATATGGAGATTTTTATTGTAGACACAAGGGAGAAAGCAGATAGGGGAAAGAGTCCCAGCTGGATATGGCTAGCAGACTAAACCCAACCATTAGAGAAGAGAGAAGAAGGGAGAGCAAGAGAGAAGCCACTGACCAAGAGAGGTGGCCAGGGTCAAGAGACCGACTGTAGTTCTAATAAGTCACAGTAACACAGAAACCATGATAGACAATTTCTAAAAAGTAATTTTATGATAGAATCTTCATTCTGGTGCCACAGAAACAGCAGGAATGAAATTATATAATTCATATAAAAAGATAATTGAATAGTACTCACTGGTAATGAGAAATGAAAACTTAACCCTAATTTCAGTAAAATGTATAAGAAGATAAAAATAACTATGGAGTTACTCATTTTAGAATTCTAGTGGATATTCTTATATAGTTTTAAATTTGTATATGATTTTGACATTTGGGGGCTAGGAAAAAATCTAGACCTCAACATAGTAATTTGGGATAAAAACCCTTTTGTCAGAGAATTTTGGTAAATATGCAAACAATATAACAATAAAAAAAACCCTTCCTCACAAAGATACCCTTGCTTATCTTAGGGTTGTCTATGTGAAAATGGAATGATCTCTAAATAATACCATCATTTACCCATTTCCTATAATTTCCTCCTACTCATTCTTAAGAGAAAAATTCAAGAAAACTATTTTCTCCACATAACTTATGCATAATTGTTTTCCTGTTTTGAAATAGCAGTGACAGCATCCAACAAAGAATCCCGAGGGCTGTTTTCTCAAAAAAAAAAAATCATTTTCTCAGCTGGAAGGAGCATTGTAGGACAAGCACAGATCAATACAGCTTAGTTATTTCCTTCTGCTCTGGATCTAGTTCTGACTCCATTCTTTCCCTTGAGAATGTACTTTCTACATACAGTAAAATATGGCACGAGTCAATTTAAAGAAAAGGCAGAAAGCATTACAAGTTTACCCGTGATGAAGGAGTAAGGGTGTGTCATCACTCATGCTGCTCCGACTTCTGACTTCCTAACTAGTTGTAGAGCTGATTTTATTTTCCTCACACCTTCACGAGTTATCAGAAATAAGTGTGGATGACTAGAACTACACAAACCTTCTCAAGTTCAGTTAAATGAGGTGAGTTGTCATAACTTCAAGGTATATTTACTTATCAATGGACTTTGGAGTCTGTTGGGGGGGGGGGAGAAGAACAGACAGACTTGCCAAACAACCTGGATAGCAACTTTCTGACCAAAGGGATTAAGACACATTTATATGGAAATTTTTGCTCTTTTAACAAAAATATTACAACGTACACTGTCCATATTTATGTGACATATTTCTTTCTTTTTAACATATCTTTTCACAAATTTACTAGAATTAAAAGAAAGAACTGATGTTAACAAAATGGCTCAGCCAGTAAAGGTACTTGCTGCCAAGTCTGAATACTGAGTTTGATCCTTGGAACCCACACAGGAGGAGAACACAGGCTGCCACAAGTTGTCCCCTGACCTACATAAACAACAAATACACACATGTGCGCATGCACACACACACAAATGTAATCTTAAATTTTTTTAAAGAGATAAGTTTTTAAAGCTTAAATATTAACTAATATTTTATGCAGACAATTAAAGATACCCAAGCTCCTCATACTTCTTTTAGTAATGAAATCTTCTTCCATGGGCAGTTAAGGAAAACTTGATATTGGCCAGCCATATCTTATTTTGGACGGTAATTATTGGTACCAAGGTAGGGTCCACAATTCCAAAGGACCAGATTTCTCTAATAAAGTCAACATGTGAATACTGATTCATTGTGATGTCTTAATTAGAACAGTTAGTCACAATATTCTTTCTCATAGAAAAACCAATCAGTTCTTCGTATTAGGTTAAAAACTAAGAACGCATTACAGAGAAATGTGTAACTCATTCATTTACTCATTCACTGAACACTTACTATCTGCTATGTGTTAAGTGCTATTCTGGTCACTTAGTATACAAAAGCAGCAGTTTTGTGAATTAAAAAAAAACAAGACTGTTCAAAGACTTTTTCTAGATGTGAAACATCATTTGAGAGCAACTCCTTTTATTCAGAATCTATAATTCTAAGGTTATTTTTGTGGTCTGTGAGAAGAAAATCAAGATAATATTCAAAGTAGAAAGTACAGAGAAAGAATACACTATAATCACAATGCATCATTCTAGTCCCTCAAAAATCTTCCTTTATAATTTTTTCAACAGTGTAAAACAGAACCAAAAAGAAATAAGGGGGAAAACTATTTCCTCAAAAGTAAAGGAGAGAATAATATATAGTACGTTATACTGTGGTAGAAGATTAGGTTCTTTATCTGGAGTTGTATAGGTACTAGTAGTCTGCTTATGTGCAAAACTGAGAAAATAATACTTGTTATCTTACAGTTGGTTTGAAGATGAAAATGTTTAATATATTAAAATACTTAAACAATAACATATATGGCTAAGAATTAGCTTTTCTCTATTGTCTAAAGTCAACTTTTCACACAGCAGCCAGACTGAGCTTTCTTAAGTCCAAATTAGTATAGCTTTCAGTACATACAACATTCCCCTGTTCATAATGCTTCAGGGGCTTCCCATGAAAACCAGAATAAAGTTAATCCCATCGAGACTCTACAAGAGTCTACCCACCTCTTCAAATTCAGCTATTCATACTTTTCATCCCTATGCCTAAATTACTCTGGTCTTCTTCAAATTTCTAGAATAAACCAATGCTCACAAACTTTTAACTTGTTCTATAGGATCCTACTTGTTTCCCAAAGGATCTAAGTCTTACTTCCTTCAGCTCTTTATTCAAATTTACCTTCTAATAGGAAAACCTTTATGTCCTACTCTATCACAATCACATCTTCTCTTGTTCCCATTTCTGCCCTTTTTTACTTCATTAAAATGCTCAATTTTCTCCACAGATTCTTCTTCACATGATCAACAAAATACTTGGGTTTATAACACAGGGAACTTGTACATCTTATTTGTTATTATAAGGTCTATAGTAACACTTGCCATAAAGATGTGTTACTGGACAAATAAAAGCTTTATTATGCACAGATTAATATGTCCTACAATAGTGGAATAATTAAGTCTGGTGTCGAGGTGCTTGAGTTACCTCTGTAGTCGATATCCTGGGCCCTGATGTCCTCCTTCACTACTATTCTAGTGTTTCATTTTCTGAATGAGGTTCACTACGTACTGCCGATTGTCTATGTTGTTATATACTAGTAATATTATACAATCATGTAAATGTGTAAAAATACATACATAAACCCACACAAGATTTTTTGATCATTTTTCTGCAGAAGGCTGGCATACATACTGATAAATTCTGTGTTGATTTCTTTCCTTACTCAATGGTCTCAGAAAGTCCCTCTAAACTAGCTCCAGTACTGCGCACACAAACGAACACGCAATTACAACAGCTATATAGCGAAAATTGCTGTGTAGTTAAAATGCTACCCAAGAAATATTGTAAGGAAATGTGGTGCATATATTAGATAATAATAGCAGTACTTGGGAATTATAGAAATTAAAAAAGGCGAAGATAAAAAGACACATTTATAGCTGGAAATAATGGCTGCACATGCTTTTAATCCCAGCACTGGGACTGAGGTTGAGGCAGAAGGACCTCTGAGTTTGAGACCAGTCTTGTACGCACAGAAAGCTCCAGGCTGGGCAAGGCTACACAAGGAGACCTTGTCTCAAAAAACAAACGAATGACAACAAAAGACACATTTACAGTATTTAGAAAATGAAAATTTACCATTGTTTTCCCAAATCTGATTCAATCAATTAAACTCTAATTATATTGTTTAATCTAGAAAATATAATATTCAGGCCAGAGAACATAATGCATCTTATAAGAGTTCTAAGAAGAGTCAAATAAAAGATCGTGCATTTGGAAGAGTAATTCAACAAAGATAAAAATTATTTTTTAAAAATGTTCTTATCTAGGCTTAAAAGTAACTCCAAGGTTAAGAGCAATGGTTGCTCTTTGCAGACTACCCAAGTTCAAGTCCCAGCACTCATGTGGTGGCTCACATCTATAATTCTAGTTCCAAGGAGTCTGATTCCCTGTTATGACCTCTGTGAGCAACAGGCAAACATGTGATACACATACATGCAGGCAAAACATTCAAATACATAAAATAAAACAAATAAATCTTTGCTGGGTGGTAGTGGCGCACGCCTTTAATCCCAGCACACAGGAGGTGAAGGCAGGCAGACCTCTGATTTCAAGGCCAGCCTAGTCTACAAAGCAAACTCCAGGACAGCCAGGGTTACACAGAGAAACTCAGCCTCAAAAAAACCCCAGTTAAGACACCTAGCAATAGTAGATAGGGTGTCTGAACTGGCCCTCTACTGTAATCGGATTAGTGACTACTCTAATTGTCATTACAGAGCCTTTACCGAGGCACTAATAAAAGCAGATACAGAAATCCAGTCAAGCATTGGTCTGAACTCTGGGAGCCCTCCTGATGAAAGGGAGGAAGGACTGTATGGAGCCAGGGGAGGTCAAGGTCATGAAAGAGGAACCCACAGAAACAG